ATAAAATACTTGTAATACTAGAAATACTAGTAATACTGGTAAATACTTGTAATAAAATACTAGTAAATTACTAGCAATAAAATAGTAATAAAGTGCTAGTAAAATACTAGTAATAAAATAAAATACAGGAAATACTAGTAATAAAATAGTGGTAATACTAGTAAATTACTAGTAATAAAATATTAGTTATACTTATAAAATACTAGTAATATTAAGAATAAAATAGTAATTCAATACTGGAAATACTAATAGTAAAATATTATTGAAATACTATTGGTACTAGTAATAAAAATAAAATCTTTTTTAAAAGAAATCTTTCTCGCAGTAAAATAAAGCTTACCCAGTGCTGCCATTTGTTACAAATATTATCAAATAATCGTCCTATTGAATCTTTATTTTATTATTATCATTTCCATACAGCTGATCAGTGATTACTCAGTGATTGTAAAGAACAGATGTTCGATCCTCTGTTACGGCTTGAAGCCCATCCAGCTTTAGATCAGTGACTACCAGCTTGTCTGGAAAGTAAAGGCGGCCTGTGCGCAATGCTGACTACATTTCCACATTCGTCTCGAAATTATGGACATCCATGATGTCCACAAATGGGCTGTTGCTGAAATGCTTTACCTTTATCTGTAAACATCTAGATACTATTAGAAACATTTTGTGGGTGGGTGGGTGTAAGATTTGCTCCAAAATTGGTGGTTTTGGTTAGAAAAAATAATTTATTAAAATATTTATGGCAACTTTTGCAATAACTTGCGTTAATTCTTGTCATTAGATAAAATTATGAATTTACTCAATTTAGGTGTTTGTTCTAAAATTCTTAAACATTTCAAAATGTGAGTAGCTGGGAATCAATAGATCTATTCAGAATGATCAATAGTCACTGCACTTAATATATACAGTATGGAGGGTGTTGTGTAAAGATCGCCCTTAATGTACATTTTTAGAATCTCTTTCATAATAAAAACAAAAAGTATACATATGGAGGTCGCAAATTAGTATTTTAGATGGATAAAGCAAAAACGCTATCGGAGCCTGACAATTTACAGTAGAGGAAGCGAACATAATAAACGTCAAAGCTGATTTAATTGGAAGTTGAAACTTTAAGGTGTTTCTATTAGTCGTCTTTCAACCTATCTCTGTTGACCCCGCAATCAAACCTATCTGGTTGTTTATTACATTCCCTTGCCCTATAGTGTGATTTCTCTGATTTCTATATATATATATATNTTCAATTTTGATAAGGACTCTAAAAATGCATATTAAGGAGGGTCTTTCTAAAAACCCTGTATATTTTTAGATACTTGGCAGAAAAAAGTAAAAAATGTGCAAGTATTAAAATTCGAAAAATAGTATTTAAATGGAAAAAGGTGTAACACCTTGCAGTCACATTAAGTTAATACATAATTGTCATAATAGTTGTAAAAAAGTTTAGTTCAACGAGCATAATATGCCGGATTTTGAAAGCACAAATACTTTTTTGAGAAGGAAAAACGTTATAGCACTTCACAATTTGTAAAATATTATTTAAAAATGTATATCTCCAAAGTCTATAGACCTAAATAAACAGTAAGTTATTAAATACTATAAGATGAGCATGCTTTTTTTCTTACTGTTGTGGCGGGAAACTGACACTTGACCGAGACCGTATAAAAAACTTTGGTCGCCGAGAGTATAGCATACATTATTTACAAGANTAGACCTAAATAAACAGTAAGTTATTAAATACTATAAGATGAGCATGCTTTTTTTCTTACTGTTGTGGCGGGAAACTGACACTTCACCGGGACCGTATAAAAAACTTTGGTCGCCGAGAGTATAGCATACATTATTTACAAGAATAAACATTATTTAAATCTGGCGTACTGCTATTGAGGTTAGAGAGGAAGGATAAAAGCATCATAATCTGTATATATATGTTGACGAAAATCAAAAGGAGTAGTTGAAAAGTGATTATCAAAAAAATCGAACTTGTCAACTTGTTTTGATATTTTTAACCCCGCTTTCCTCAATTGTGATTCACCAGAATTTAGGAACGATATTGCTTTTTTTGAAATATAAGTTGAAAATATAGAGAACGCATGAAAAAAGTATAAAGATTATGAAAAGAAAAGAAAAAAACTATTAAAAATTTTTTTTAAAAATATTAAAATTTTAAAAAATTAAAAAAAAAATTTAACTGTCGGAAAACAAAAAAAGGAAAAGATATAACTCAAACCCAACTCAAACGATTATATCCGCAAAAAAGAGGGCTCTTTTAGCAGATATAATCGTGTGAGATGTCTAAATACTTGCACATTATTTCATAAAATAATAATCAACTTTTGATTTCTTCTGTTACAGTTTAGAAACCTTGACTTTATAAACAAACTACCATTTTATAAATTTGACATGATTATGTCAATTTATGAAATTGACATATCTAAAAGTAAAACTGATAAAAATGTCAAAGGAAACAAAGCTGCATTTTTGGCTGTCATTATTTTGTTAAAGTTTCTAAATTTAGAGTTACAAAATTAAAGTTTATGTTAACAGACGATTATTTTTAAAAACACGACTTTAATCAATTCTCATTTTTATCTTTCCATTTTAACTTCGGTATTTTTTGAATGAACATCTATTTTTCCTCTCTTTTTTTTCAATCTTTACTTTGATTTAATCTAATCATTGCTGCGTTTTTTTTTTTTTAAATTTTTTATTATTTCATTAATCAGTAATTTGTCTTGCTTAAGAATGTATGTACAGTATTTCTAACTCAACAATTGCTTAAAAACCCGGTTTTTCTTTTCCCCTTTTAAATCTTAATAATCAGTTTTCGTCCTAAATTGTTAATTATTTCCTAATTCTCAACCAATGCAAAAAAAAAAAAGTTTTACATTTTACTGTTTCATGACATTTAACAAAACAAGTATTTAAGAGAAATCTACCCTAATTGCAGCTTTTTACAATAAATAAATAAATGAATAAATCAAGGGAAAAAGTAATAATAGTGAATAAATAAATAAAAAATATTCAAAAATTTTTTTGATGAACATATTTTTAAAATCATTTTTGTTATTATTTTGCATTTAATCTCTGGCTGTGTAGCAACAACCAAATAATGTTATTATACCCTTTGATTAGAAATCTGAGATTTTATAAACATTCAAATAAAAGCAAAGTACAGTGCTCAAAATAAAAAAAATGGATTTAAATTAATAACTTTTGATCTAGTAATTGAATTTTCGTGTACTAAGATGCAGTCTTAGTAAATCATTGGTTTAATCGTATCGTTTAGTTAGACTAAATAAATTGTGCTGATGACAACGTTAGGTATTAATCGTGCAGACAATAATTTTAGTAGAAAAATCGTATTTCCTCTTCTTAATTTATTTTTTTGACTAATTCGAATATTTGACCTTCAAATTGTGGGGAATTTTTAAAAAATATGAAAAAAAAATTTTGATTTGTTCTGTGTAAAAATTTTTTACTTCATTTAAAGTTATAATATTTTAAATGAAAAAATGTGAAATTTGAAAAAAAATATCGGCAAATAGTTTTTTAACTTATAAAAAATTTAAAAGAAAAAAAAAAACTTTTTTTTTTCATTTCTCAAAATTTATTATATTTATTTAGTTTATATTTTGCATTTTGTTGTTTCAAATTGTAAAGGTTTGTATAAATTGCAATTCAAAAATGTATCGATCTTTATTGACAAATAAATAAGCTTAAAAAGTGACATTTTCTATTAAATTATTTTTGGATAAACGAATTTAAGAAGTGAGGTCATTTTTTTTTTGTATCTTCTCTTAGAGCCGCTAGGGCTCAGTAGTTAAGGCACTGAATTGTCATTGTGAAGCACTGAAGTTCGATTCCCAGTGGCGGCTTGAAGCCCTTCTAGCTTCAAGTCGAAGGATACTAGTTTCTCTGGGAAGTAAAGGTGGCCTATGCGCAATGCTGACCACATTGCTGCAATCATGCCATTGGTCACACAATTGTGAAGCCTTTACGTTTGTTTTACTTTTACTTCATTTTCTCTTGAATATTTACAGAAATATGGCCAAAATCTCAAACTTATTGAGAAATTGTTTTTCCAGATTGCGACTGATACCATATTTCGAAGGTCAAGAATTAAAGAAGCTACGTTTTAATCCAGAGAAGTTACGTTTTTTGTGTGTTGTTTTATAACTTAAAAAATCATCAGCACAAACTAACATGTTTAATCGCATTTTTATATTTGCATCTTGGTACATGAAAACTCGATCCCTGTTGGTCAAAATTTGTTAAGGTGTTCAGTTTTTTTTCCCTCCATATAACAGCAATATACCTATAATAATAATATTTTTAACTATCCCCCCACACACACCATGTAGAAAATATATTACAATTTATATTTTTTACGACCCCAAAATTTAACCATACGGCTTATCTTTACCCATAGTTTAAAAAGCCCTGACTTAAAGTAGTGCCTATAAATAAAAGGTTCTTCTCTTCTGTAATTAGTTATTTCGTTTATTATATCGATTAATTATTTTGTAGCGTACCGGTTAGCATTTGTAGTGTATTACTTATAGATGTTTTTCTCTTGTTTACTTAATTATTGTGTTTAATATATCGATTAGTCATTCTGTAACGTACCTGATAACATCTATAGTGTATTTATTACCCATAAATATTTTTCTCTCCTGTACTTAGTTATTTTGTTTAATATATTTCGATTTGTTATTTTGTAACTTACTGGATATTATTTGTAATGTATTACTCATAAATGTTTTTCTCTCCTGTACTTAGTTATTTTATTTAATATATCATTTTGTTATTTCGTAGCGTACCGGATAACATTTGTAATGTATTACTCATAAACGTTTTTCTCTCCTGTACTTAATTATTTTATTTAATGTATCGATTTGTTATTTTGTAACTTACCGCATGACATTTGTAATGCATTACTCATAAATGTTTTTCTCTCCTGTACTTAATTATTTTATTTAATGTATCGATTTGTTATTTTGTAGCGTACCGGATAACATTTGTAGTGATAAACGAAAGGAAGGGAGAACAACTAGCATCTTTAGTAGATAATGGTACCCGCATTATAATGAGAATCGGTGTTGGACCTCGTGGAATTTTTAGATTTGGACAAATAAATAGGACATCTGTGTTATTTGTTTCTTTATCTTTCATCGTTCTCATGATCATATCTTTTGCATGGCTTATCTTCTATTACATTCAAAGATTTCGATATATTCATGCCAAGGAAATGTTATCGGTAAGTTATATTTTAAGTATTTATATTTGTTTTGGGGGAAAATAACGTTTCTTAGATTTTTAGCAGAGTAGAAGAAGATTTGAAATGATATCCTTGAAATTATATGAGATTTCTCGGGAAAAGACTTTATTTTTGTCTTATTTATCTATACAACATTAATTTATTTTGTATGTTATTAAATTTCGTAAATCTCAGTAGATGAAGGTACAAAGTAATAGTCTTTAAATGTTTTTAGAGTGGAAAAGGGTTTCAAGTGCATCTGAAAGAAAGGAAGAAAAAAAAACAGTTTTTTTTATAACTGATTCAAATTATTGTTATAACAGTTTAAATTATTGTTGAAAATTCAAAAATTTTGCCAAGTTGAGCCTTGCGGACAAAAGCATAAAAGCAATACTATCTTTATTTCTTTATCAACGTATAAAATTTTCTAAAAATTCACTAAATTTACTAAAAATTCACTAATTTTCTCAAAATTCACTAAAATGTCTCTAAAATGTTCATACTCTCAGCTTCTCAATTATCAGACGAAAGTTCCCCAATTTACGTTTTTTACGAAAGTTTTTTTTTTTTAATATTCTTAACGTGATTTAAACACTTTTTAAAACAATTTTTAAACTTAGCGTTTACGAACGAATAATATTGTTAGAGAGATTTTGCATAGCGTTTTTCTCAAGCTATGCACAACGCTAACCTTGATTCTGCAGTTTGCATAAAAATTTTCACTCATACGCTGTGAAGCTTGTGAAGATCAAATAACGTTACCGTTACAGGCAGCGGGATACCGTATCGCTATGCAAAATCTCTCTAATATTAAAAAAAATTTTTGCTTTTCTTTGAAGAGTGTGCAAAATAAAAATAAAAATGTGACTCATGGTATGAAATTTAACTCTAATTATCAGATTTTCGCGCTTTAACGTGTAATCATAATGGTCCAAGATATAAATATTAAATTTCCTTGTCAAAACCATATTTTAAGTTACAAAATCTAACAAAAATACGAACTTATACTGAATAAATATACTTTTTTATGACAGTTTCTGATTTATGCATTCTGGTATCCTCTACCTGGAAAATATGATCCCGATTCTCAACTGTTTAGTCAGAAGTGGGGTCGAAAGACAAAACCCTTATTTTAACTTTATTTATTATTTATTTCTACGTTTCGCCTTATTTCTGAAACTAACCAATACTGTGCTGTCTAACACCATCTGAAAGCATGAGATCCCATGTTTATTTCTTGAAAGCAGTGTGTGGTAGCCAGTGACATAGTTTCAATGCATGTTCGACGGGGTTATTGGTTATCTCCTCCTATTGTTCTTGTCTTTGGCCATTAAAGCAGATGGGATGCAACTGTTCTTGTTTTCCAATGGCGCCATCTATGACGAAGAATTCGTCTTCCTGCCTCACCCATACGTCATACCTGTTTATAGGGTCATGCATCCATTCATTCATCTGCAATTGTAATTTTGACCTGAACCATAGAACGCTCAATCTCCAATTCAGCACCCCCAGAGTTTAATTTGTTATGGCAACATGGAGGACTTTATGACCCGACATATTCAAGGTGCACCAGTCACCATTTACTACACAGAGAGTTTTCGGACGGCTGGATGTGAACTCCTGTTCTCACGAACCTGAGTTCAGTGTCCTGCCAACTTGGCTACCTTGGCCCTATTTCCCTCTAATATATATATTCTGAACGTTTAAACTACAAAAAACTGAATAATGAAACTTTTTTGTATTTACATCCTACTTACCATACAATAGTTAGTTAATCAAGTAATATATATAATTTCGGAGGGGTTTTGTACCCCCAAACCCTTCCTAAAACTATGCCACTGGTGGTAGCGAATATACCCATAATGTATTATTCTATCTTTCAGTGTGTAGTTATAGCCAAAAGTAAAAAGCATTAAAGTCTAGGAATTTGGGATGCCAAGCTGTAGGGAATGTTATATCTAGGATTGCCTAACGGAACTTTTTTTTTGCTAAGTAAAATTTCTATTATTTTATTATACCATTACCCAATTTTCATGAAATTCCACTGCATATCTTTTAATAGAGATTGCTTGCCAATGCCAAATTCAATTATTGATGCCCCCCCCCCATTCAGAATCGTGGCGATATTGTCACAGATGTCACAGAACATTACAGAGTTCTTGCAGAAGGATTTTTTATTTGGGAAACAAAGAAGTTCCGTTTTTTTATGAGCAGAGTTTTTCGAAAAAAATTTTTTTTTTCACAGAACTTTTTTTCCCCTTTCTGCAGAACTATATTCAGAAAATTCCTTTCTTGCATATCAAAGGTGGAACAAAACGCTCGTGATTTTTTTTCTATTATCTTTTGAGAATAAGAAAATTCTGCACTAATTTTGAGAATAAAAAATTCTGCAATCTGAAACTCTAGCCTTTAGCTAGAGTTTTTGATTAATATTATAAAAAGTAATTTCCAAATAGCAAAAATTTAAAAAAAGTTAACCATACAAATATTTTTTAGAACAGGAGAATATTGCCAATAATATTAGAATATGTATTCTTTTATATTTAGATTTTTTTTTAAAAAATTCTTACATTTATAATTTTAAAAAATATATACTGTTCTGTTCTATAAATGAAGGCTTTTTTGTAAACAGAAAGCGCTTCTGTTAGTTTAAATTAGTAACATATATATTTGCTCATTTTGAAAATGTCAGCACTTGAGACGGCTTAAAATGATGGAAAAGAAGCATCTTATGGACTTTGTATTGATGCATTATAGTTTGTTGCAAAATTTTATAGATTTATTTGCATTATTGATTACAAAACTTTAAAAGCAATTTGCTCGAAACTGTTTTCTTTATTTGCTGTATCTCTAAATACAATTTTAAACTAATTAATTTTCTCACAATATTCACAATGAATATAATTCTATGTGCGTAAGAAATTTTTAGTTGGGTTGTCTGACTTTGAGTTATGCTCGAAAATGCAACTTATTTTATGTCATTGTTTGAATATTTTTTCAAAACGCTGCCATTTTGTGAAAATTATTATTTTTTTTAAAAATCATATCTGCAACAAAAATTGCATCCACGTAGTTTGAAAAGATCAAAAGGGAATCAAATTTGGATGATTTTTTTTTTTTACTTCTAACTACAACAAGTTATGGATAATTTAGAAAATAAGTTATGACATTCTATTAAAAATGCACTAATTTTTTAATTTGATAAAATTAAAATAAAAATATGTAGAATAAGATAAAAAAAATTTCAGTTAAGCTTATTGTAATCATTGCAAAATCCATTGAAACATTCTTCTTTTTCACAAAATTTTACTGTGTTGTTCTTCCTTAACAGTTGTGAAAGTATAATTGTGAATGTACTCTATATATATATATTTTTTTTTTGTCTGATTCATTCTGTTTTGAAAATATTCTAAAATATGCATACTGTGAATATAAATTGTGAACAATATGAAAATAATTACTAAAATAAGTAAGTCGTAAAAAAAATTAAAAACATTTTTTGAAATTTTTATAATAAAATTCTTATGTTCTAAAAAAATATTTAGATCTTTGTGGTTTTGAACGAAATTGTGTAAACAATACCAACCTGAGTGTGACACATCTTATCATATTGTTCTTAAGAAATTATCTTCTTTTTTTTTATTTATTAAAATACACTTTTCATATTTCTGAAAATTTTTGTATCTTACTAGTGAATGACTTATGGTAATAGTATAATGAAAAGCCATATTTTCAAATTCCTTAAGGAGAGGATAGATGAAAGTGGATTTCTTTATTTAAAAACTCTTGCGTGATTTAAAAGAGAATGCACTTTCTAACAACTGAAGATTTTTTATTTAATTTATTTATTTATTTTTGTTTTGATTCATTTTTTAAGCATAATTTTGGAAAAATATATGATAATCTGGAAAACTAATTTGAAATCAAATATTATTGTAAAAAATTAAAATACAAGTTAAGAATGACTATTACCTAAATGAAATAAGTGAATTAGCACAGATAGTTGACCATGCCTTAAATATTTATATATTTAAAACTATTACACTTATTACAATTATTATTGCACATATTGAAAAAAAACATCAAAGTAAGTTTTTTTCGATACAAAATATGTGTGAATCTTTTGTTACACAATAAACATCTAATTTGTGCAAATGTGTTATTTGAGTTTTATCTTTTTCTGTTTTTAACTTTAATGAATTTAAACAACAATGTTTCAAGAAAATTTTGCTGTTTTCTTTTTATATTTCTCAAATTTTAAATAATGTATCCTGAAATGAAACTTATTGAAATAGTTTCCCTTTCATTCTGAAAAATTCCGAGCTCAAAGGCAGCAACTGTCATAGATTCGTGTTGAATTCTAGTAAAATCCTGCCTCATCCTCTTAACCATGCTCATGAAAGATTGTTCTTTTTTAAACCCTTCAACGCTTCCATTCAATGTATCACTTATTCATTTATTGTAGTATGGGTCGCAGTTTCAAAAATATAAATATTCAAAATCTTGTCATTCATTTGTGATACCTCCGCGTAAAGTGTCCATCCCTAAAAGAACAAATTGAAAATGACCAATTTAAAATAAGTTAAAAACCTTTTTATGATATTACTGTCATTGTGTACTTTTAATATGGATTTTTATATTTGATGTATATTTTTATCAATTTGCTTTTATTTTCAGAGAAAGCTATGCAGTGCAGCAAAAAAAGCTTTAGATAAAATTCCTGTAAAAACAGTCAAAACTGATGAGTCTGTAAGCTCTATTTTCATTTATTATTTGCAATTTTCTTTTTAACTTTTATTGAATATTATGCAGTAAATGTTTGTTAGTAGAGTCCCAATCAGAATAACGATTTTGTTTAATTTTGACCCAATTTTAATGCATATTTTTTTTATTCAAAACCTTTTCTCTTAGTTTAATGGAGGAAATTATTTAAATTTTTGGAATTATTTAAAATTATATATATTTTTTTAACAAAAATTGTTTCAATGTTATAATAATAGCTTTTTATTCTAATCATTATGTTAGATTTCAATGAGTATTCTTTAAATTGCATTTTATATTGTTGTTTTTCATTTTGATCCGAACATTTTTTCAAAATTTGAACCTGAGAGCTCTTTTCTTTTTTCTTTCTTCTTTTTTTGGCATTATTATCAGTTCCTTGTCCCACATGGGTGCCTTAAGGTTTTTGTCACTTGCTCTTTTTATCTCATCTCTTAGACTAATCCATTGAGCATTTCTTAAATTGCACCTTATATTGCTATTTTCATTTTGATCTGAACATTTTTAAGAATTTGAGCCTGAGAGCTCTTTTATTTTTTCCCCACATTACTATCAGTTCTTTGTCACAGCAGGGTGTCTTCTTATTGATCTTATTATTTTTAAGGTTTTTGTCACTTGCTCTTTTTATTTCATCTCTTAAACTAATGATTGCTCTTTCAATGCTGTTCTTTCTTTTGCTAGCACTTAGAAATTCTGCCTTTTCTATTGTTTTTTTTTGCCTGGCCTTTTTTCAGACTCTTAGGCCAGTCGCACACTGAGGAGGCAAGTGAGAAACGAGAAGAATACGTAAGGTGGGGTAAATTTGTTTCCCATAGTTTTCTACTAGCAAGCATACATTGAGGGAGTGAAGAGTTTTTTCCCTCCAGGAGGCTAAAAACTCCTACAAACCTCTCAAATAGGTTCAACGCTATTTTCGCCACCTGTAAAACCTTGCCTCCTCTTTGCATGAGACTTTGTTTCACTCAAAATGAGGGACGATCCTCAATTGAATTAACAATATTTGTTATAAATGTAATGTTATGGATATAAATGTAATAAATAATATTTCGTATAAATAAATTAATTTAATTATTTTTCACTGACAATTTGAAGTTTAAATAGAATCTGTACTAGTTTTGTGTCTACTTTCTATTTTCCAAAAAGAAAAAAAAATCCTTTTTTTTTTTTCTTTTTTTTGTGGTTACGTGCAAAAAAAATTAAACTACAGTGTTAATCAAATAATAAATTAATAATAGTTTTATATAAGTTTTGAACAAAATCCTTTAATGGAAGAGAGTGATAATATTTTTCTCTACATTAAATAATTTCAATAGAGTTATAAAATTCTCAGTAATTTTCTCTTGGATAATATTCTTGACAATATTGTTCTAGAAGTTGCTTACAATAAAGTCATACAAGGATTTTATTTTATATGATTTAAAGAAATAATTGTTATTTAGCAAATAGAAATAAATTTGTAGTATACTGAATAAGAACTTTAAAAAGTGCTCATTGAACAATTTTAAGTGCGCAAAATTGTTCTTAATTAATATATTACAGGCATAAATTATGCTATCAAAAATTAGTTTTCAAAGCTGATTAATCACATTATTAAAAAGACGCTCTTTTTTAGTTCTAATTTCTTTTTCTATTTTGAAAGTTATTTTTTAATGAATTTCGATAAAGTTTTTTAAAAATATTTTTAATTAATAGTATTTGGTAATTAATATCTATGAAGACTTTTCCTTTAGTGTTGCTAAATTGCAATTTCATAGTACTAAATTAAATTACATTAAATACAAATTCTGTGAACCAAAATTCTGTGTATCAGTTCTGTGAACCAAAAATTGTTCTTAAAAAACTGTTAAGAAATGAGAACTGTTAAGAAATTAGCAATCAGTTTCAAGAATAAATAAACCTTTCTTTTTCTTAAAAAAAAAAGAAAAGAAAAGCTGTTTATTTTCTCATTTTTAAAAGTTATTTTCTTCTTAAAATTGTCCAGAAATTTTTTTTAAACATTTTAATTTAATTAATGAAAATAGCTTTTCGCCATCTGAGAATGAAGAATAAAAAAAAAACTTTTTCTCCAGTTAATTTAGACTTTGTTAATATTTTCTATATCGCTAGGCATATATATATATATAGATAGATTGATAGATAGATAGATTTATATATATTAGTTCTATTCACTTGCAGCTTATGCCCAGTAAATAAAACTTATTGTTTTTCTTAATTTTCTTCACGTTTTTTTCCTTTTTGTATTTATTTATTATGCTATATATATATACACGCAAATATCTGCTGAATCTATGCCTTCGTTGAGGAAGAGTACACTTCCTCAATGTGCAGCCCTTTTTTCAGCTCACCTCCTAAAAGCCCATTTGGTCAAGAGGCGAGAGTCAAACTGGGGGTTTTTCACCTCCCTCTCGCTTCCTCAGTGTGCAGCCGGCCTTAGTGTGGAGATTATATGCACTAGTTAGAGAATGGGCCTCATTCTTACCGCTTATAACTTTATACTAGGTGTCCCAAAACTCATGGTACATATGTTAGGGGTGTTAGAAGAAAACTAGACGAGCACAAAACACCATACAATCCATGTTCTGAACACAAGTCGTAATTCACTAGAGGGCTCAGACTTTTATTCTGAGTCTGGGCTTTAAAATATATATGTCTGGACATTTTCTTCTGGGGTCACATGAAGAGTCTCATCTGTGACAGTAGTTCCACAGATTCTGAAGATCTTGTTGCCTGGATATCCGTAGCTGCTGATACCATAAGAGGGATGCCTGGTGTTTTTGCCAATGTACGGTGGTGGTAGTCACTCTTTTTATGGTAGGAAGATTGTGTTAATGTTGATGTTCCCAATTTTGAACAGTTCCTGTCATATAGAACTTAGTGTTGTTTAATTTCATTTTGTTTAATAAAACGTTTTTCTTAATTTTTAACAGTTTCTTTTCATTCCATCTCTGTCTTTTTTTTCTCATCATTTCATGACACAGCATATTTCATGCTCTAGTGCTTTATGACTTGCATTCCAACCATGGATTATCTGCTGTTTTGTGCTTGACTAGTTGTCCTCTATCACTCCTTAACGAATGCACTATGAGTTTTGAGACACCCTTTATATTGTGTTGTTATTATATACTGTTGTACTTACTTTTTGAAAGTTGTTCTAAAATTGTTTAAGTTTTTATTTAAAATAAAAGTTTTAATTATTATCCAATATCTATTGACCTAATTTCTTTATTAGGATCAAGATGAAGATTATGAATGTTGTGCAATTTGTATAGAATCCTTTCAACAAGGAGAACTTATAAGATCTCTTCCTTGCAGGTAGATTTTAATTACTATGTTGAATTTATCTGATCTAATTTTGTACACAGACATTTTTCATCCTTGCAAGTTTTAAAGTAATTATAATAATCAAAAGTTTATTATTATAATCTAAAAAAAGGCATTTCATTTTTTATTTAATAGGTAATTTTTAGAAATTATGTGCTAAAACTTATACAAATATTAGTTTAAATATCTAAATGTTGTAAGATATTATATATCTAAAATACTAAATTAATATTATTTATTTTTATATTGAGATGTACTAAACAAGGATTCCCACATTAGAGTGTGATAGTAACAGGGCTGCCAACTTTTTACACTTTTTGAAATAAACTTTTCCACTTGTAGCTGAATTCATGTTTTAACGTATGATTCTTAGTTTTGTAAATTTGGTTTGAAGTTATTCTCCCAACAACTACATAAAATGATTATGAGGTCATATGGAACGCCACTTTGTTCAAGCTCTCTTGGTATGAAGTTTTTAAAAGGTTCGCAAAACTATCAAAAATTTTGAAAGTTTTAATTTTTAATTATTTACCACTCTATGAAATATTTCGCAAAAACCATAGTAGTTGGCAGTCCTGTAGTGATTTCAGGTGGTGAAGAATTTTGCACTTATAAAAGTAGCTTTTCAAGCTTACTATTTTATTATCTTGGGGCATATTTTCACTTTGGTGTAATTTAACTTTTATGACTAAAATATTATTGTTTTCTTGTCTTGTTATTAAGTTTAAATAAAAAAATTATCAATTAACATTCAGTCTTTAAAAAGAAAAGCTGAAGAAGTTCAAAGCAATTAGCTTCTTTTTATTACATATTACAACAATATTTAAAATACTTGAAGATATGGTTAATATATAATAAAGTTTAAAAAATTCACACTTCAGAAATTTTAAGAAATATAAACTAAATTCCTAATAATTTCCTTTAATTCTTTTTTATATTTTTATAAAAAAAATTGCCCTATATTTAAGCAACAATAAAATATTATATTTTTTTAGTTTATTGTTTCATGATTAAAAGATTGCCTTCTCTGAAGATTTGCAGTTTATTAGATTTCTGAATTTTTGATAATTTGCTGTTTATGATTAGCATGCTAATAAACAACATTCACAAAGTTTCTAAAAAACATAATAAAAAAATTGTAAACCTAGATTTGTGAAGCAAAAAATAAATAAATAAATAAAAACCTTATGTTTTAAACAAATTAATTTTTTTCTCTTTAAACCTAATATTGGTATGAAATTTTTAAGTTTATTTTTATGCTTGTCGTTATTTCTTTTGAAATAAGAAGGAATGTTACTGACAACCTTGGGTGATATGACCATCCCAGATAATGCAAGTGAATTGCTTACTAATGATTTTAATGAAAAATTTAAAGAACAGAAAAACACCACTGTTTTTTTATTATTTTTATGTAAATCTATAATGTATATATTTAATAAAATTTTCTTGGAAAGTCAATTTAGAAGTGAAAAAATACAGTATATTTTGCATTAATAAAACTACAGATATGCAGGGAAAAAACCTTTACTATCTCTAAATGGTGTTTATTTTGAAATAACATTTATTATACACATAAACTTGCTAACTTTTTCTATTTTCCCTGTAATTAAAGAAAAATGTAACAAAATGTATAACATTACTAATGCAGTTTCAATTTCACAGAGGATATTGTTTTACTTTATTATATTTGTAATTTTTGTAGTTGAAGTGAAAAATTGCCATTTTGTTGGAAATATTTTCTACAAAAATTTTAGATTCAATAAAAACAACATTATTAATCAAAAAACTGATAAACTTTTAAGTGAATTCGATAAAAAAATAAACTTATTACTAAGCACAGTCTAATGACATCAGTCAAACATGCGCTTAGTTCCAAATTTTTTTCTTACTAACCAATTGAAATATGGTTTAACAAATGTAGAATAATGTGAAAAAAAATTAATAATGCACATTTTGCATACTTTACTTTTTAGATTATCAGTATATAATTTTAAATAATTATTTTAAGCAATTACAGTGACATAACTAAAATCAAATATCTATGTTTCTTTTTAGGCATTCTTTTCACAAAATTTGTATTGATCCTTGGCTATTAGAACACAGGTCTTGCCCAATGTGTAAATTAGACATTCTCCTACATTTTGGTTTGGTGGTAAGTTGCGCATAACTTTATGTGTACCTATTTCATCATTAATATCTTAACTCTTTTCCTTTATGTTTTTAACAATTAATAATAATTATAAATTATATTGTTTTATTTCATAACATGATTAACTTTGAAATCGCTATTTATTGTGCCTGCTATTTCTGTGGAAAAAATTAAACTTATTGCTTATATAATTCGGTAGAACCGTAAATCTTTCTAGAAAATCTCTGACATTTTAAAAAAAAACAATTTCTCTAATTTAACATAATTGTTTCATTATGTACAATTATGTTATTTATTTGTCCTCTTTGTGTTTTTTTGGGCACATCAGCGTCCAGCATATCTCTCCATCTTATCAATATGGCCTCTATCTCCTTAGCAACACCCATCCTGAAATCCCAAAGATCTTTAACTCATTTGACATCATGCACTGTAAAGTAAGCATAGGTTTTCCTCTAGTGATTTTTTCTTTTTGGGGCCCATGTGAGAGCAACAGATATTATTTTTTCTCTGAGCATTCTAAGTGCATGGCCAAGCTAATTCCATCTCCGTGTAAACATTTCCTCTTCTGTTGTCTTTATTTTGATTTTTCTCGATTTTCGTTTCTTATCTTGTATGGCCAAAGAATTATAAAAATAAACCTGAAGCATTTGTTCTGAAAGGTTTCTGTTTTTCTATTTTTTTCTTCTTCTATTTCCATATTTCTAAATCATAATGTAGAACTGCTTTGACAATTGTTTTGCAAATTTCTATTTTTGCTTTTATTTTAATATTCGGTGTTCTTAAGAATTTTTGCAGTCCTTTAAACCATGCATTGGCTTTAATCATTCTCTGCATTATATCTTTACTCTTGCTATCTTTTTATCTACAACTGTACCCAAATAATTAAATGATTCCACATCATATATTTGTTACTTTTTAATTTGTCATTTTTCTTTGGATTTATTGTTTTAGTTTTTTTTTTGTTGTTGTTTAAAGATAAACCTACACTCTTTGATAGTTTATTTAAAGTGTTTTAAACGGAAGGTCTTAATGTTAGGATGCAAAATGTACAGTGTCATCAGCAAAATCAAGATCTTTAAGAATTGTGTTGAAATTCCATCTGATTCTCTTTTTTTTTATCTTTTAAGGTTTTTCCGTAATCCAGTCAATTACTAAAATAAACAAAAATCCTGTTAAAATGTATGCTTGTTTCACCCCAGTTTATACCAAAAAGAAATCAGTTTACTGTCCATTAATTTTGACACACTCTTGACTGCTATCATACTTACCCTTTATTATATTTGTATGTTCTTATGATATTTTGTAAACTGAAATTTATGCATAAACATGCATTAAATTTTAACCTTTGCTCAAGAATATTTCTGAGTTTAAAATGTGTTAAATCATCCTGATTTAACTACAAAAGTCTGCTTGCTCTTCTCACAGTATTCCATAAGTTTAATTTTTGATTCACTTCTTAAAAAAATTTCCTAACATTTTTCCTGGTATTCAAAGAAGGCTGGTGTCTCTCCAATTTTTGTATTTTGTAAAGTTATTTGAGAATTTTCCCTATTACTGTTTCTCTCCATTGTTTTCTTTTCCTTCACTTCTTTAAATTTTATTAAAGAGTTTATGGATTTGTTTCATAGATGTTTTTTGGTCTGCCACTATGCCATCGCAATCTACGAATGTCTTTGGTTTTGTAGCCATCAGAGCATCTTGTATCTTGTCCAGTGTAATTATGATCAATTAAATCATGAACATTGTCTTTTTTGTTCTTTTGTGATTTAACGTGCCAAAATTTCTTTCATTAAAAAACGCATTTCTGCAATAAAAACTGTACAATTACTTCTCAACCAATGTTTTACATTTGGGATCTTTCGACACTGACTATGCATTTTTTCCCGAATATCGTTTAAAAAATTTTAAACGTCAATTTCAATTCTGTAGAATAATTGAAGCACAAATATGTACTTTTTTTATCTGTACTGTGTTTAACAAAGTGAAAAAGAAAGGGAAGCATTCCATATTCTAAGAGAGAAAAATTGTAGTGGTGGTTTTCCTTCGAAATGAAGATCATACAATGTGGCAATGAAAGAACAACTTTAGTCCATTCTTTCCTTAATTTCAGAGGCATATTTGGGGTTTGCAGTTCCCAGGAAAAAATCAAAAAAGTTTTTAACACTTGTAATTCTTCATCACATGATCACAATTTTGTAATTCATAAAAAAGTATCTTACAAAAAACACACAGACACATGCACACAAAAAACATTATTAGTTGGAGACTCCTACTATTTATGGCTGCGCTGTTGTGGATTATTTTTTTCAGCGATAGTGAATTAAAACAGAATTTTTTTTAAACAAACAGAATTTTTCAAAATAACTTATTGAACCTTAAGTACATAAGCATTCCTTTGTACAACTTTATATGTATCTGTTTAAATTACTTGTGTTTGGCAGGAAACAAAAGTCTATTAATTCTAATTTGTTAATATATTACTCTTCCTACCACCAGGAAATTTTTTTTCTGAAACTGTGGAGAATGCCTAATAGTTTGAGTCGCTGAACACAAGAGAACCACTCCCATTTTAGAAGGAAAAAAACACTTCTGTCTTTCGTTTTGATACAAAAAAAAACTTTTTTTCTTGATTCTGCAAGTTTTTTTTAATTAATTCTATTTAGAGTCTTTTTCCTCACCTTTCTGTTCCTTTAGCTTTTTAACATTGACAATATGGCTGAAATTCTTTTTTTATTTGGGCTATGATTTGTATTTATTTCTTTTAATATTTTTTTAAAAATGCGTAGTATATTTAAAAGGTATGAAAATAATACTCTATAGATATCTTTATTTTCGTTGTTATTATTATGATGGCATAAATCTTGGAAATAAAATTTTTCTACAGTTCTATTATAGGAATGTTAATGTATACTACCCAACAATAATAGAAGAGACACTTTCAGTTTTTGAGATTTTTTTCAAATTTCTCAAGAAAATTTCTTTGTAAAAACCGCTGATCATTTTGAGCTTTCTTTTGAAAAGTACTAAAACTACTAAGAAAATAGCCTAAAACTTTTTAAATTTTTAAGATATTCAAATCAAATTTTTTTAAGTTGCCAAATACGATTTACTACAAAATTATTAAAAAACTTTTTAAAACTTTTTCAGTAGATGTGCTGTGTAAAAGAACTAGCTTAAATACTCATAACTTGTGCAGTTTTTTTTTTAAATTTGATTGCAAACTTTGTAATTAATCTTAAATTAATCTAAAAATATCTGTAAGGTTATAACAAAAACACTTAAGGCGAAAAAATTAATTTTTATAAAAATGTCAATTTCTTCATAAATATTTACTCTAAGTTTACGAAACTTTATGCAGTTATTAAAAATAGCAACTAAAGTTATCGATACAAGATACAAGCTCAAGACACAAGTATCAAGCTTATTGCTTGATTTTCTGGCATAAGGTGTTCAAAAATACATGTTTTCTTTCATAATTTATAGTAGGCCGCTCAAACCTCTGAAACCTTTAAATTTTATTTCTAAGTATGAAAAATCGCATGAATTAAACATTACTAAAGTTACAAAATAATCCTTTAAGTATTTTTTGAGAAATTTAAAAAAATGTCAAAAACTGAAAGTGTCTCTTCTATTATTGTAGGGTAGCTTATGTTACAAACTTTTTAAATCCATTTCTTCATTTTCTATATATCATTTTATAACTGCAAAATAAGGAACTAAAATTGAACGTATAATTAAATTTAAATGTAATTTTAAATCTGTATTGATTGTTATCTTATTTAAAATTGTAAGTTTCCAAAGTTATTAGAAGTTGTAACCATGAAAGACCATCTATTTTACTCTGTTGTGATTAGAAACATCTGAAAGGTGTTAAATGATGCCTAATTTAGGTGAAGAGATTAATTTCAAATAATATCTTAATAACAGGTTTGCCACAGCTCTTATAAATTTATAATAGTAGTAAATGTGCATAAATACTCGCAGAAATTATAGTCTTTAAATGCTATTTTATCATTTAGAGATCAGAAGAATATTTATACAGATGCACTTTTTTCAAATATAATATGCAATGGTGGTCAAAAACATATTAAAATATTGTCATACATTACATTTTCATCAACTATTTTTATAGTTTGTAAAAGCCATTTGAAACTTATTTTTAAATTTATTTTTCTGTGGGCAAAATATTTATAAAATCCATGGCACAATAGAGGAAAGACTTTTTTCACATCTGAGAGATATTTATATTTCTTGGTAATAATCTTTCAAGCTTCAAAAAAAATTTTGGGAAAATAAAAATTCTCAATGAAACTGGCTCTAATTTTCTTTTATTTTGTAACTCAATGAAATCATATGAAAAGTTACATTTGGCAATTCCACTATTAAGGCAATATCATTTCTCGGGTTTACATCTGGTTTCCTCTGCACTTGTTCCAAGTTTTTGATTTTCATGAATTAAGAAAATTTTTTAAGAAATTACTATTATGGAAATAACACACAAATGTCAAAATTGAAGCAATTAATGTAAGCAATTAATTTACGTATTTCCATGAATTATATAAAAATTTAAAAGCTTTTAATGTTTTATCAGAAGAAGATTATGATATTTCAAGAACATTCAAGTTTTAAATATTGTGACTTGTAATAATTATGAGAAACCTAAATTTGTTACAAATGTAATATTTGGTGTTATGGAAGTAACACTATGATTTTAAATTATGGATTCGTTCTTGCAAAATGGAAACCACAATTAAATAAAAGATTACAAATGGAAAATGACATATAACTAGGAAAAAATAGTCTTAATGATTTTATGAATATATTTGATAATCAAGAAGAAATTTAACTGGCATATTTTTTTACAAATATATTTTGTTAACATCTTTTATTTAAGACATTATTACATTAAAATTTATAAAGTAAGAAATTCAATTTGTGACCAAGTTTGTGAGTGAATATGAAATAAGTACTGCTTTTATTTTTGTTATTGCCAAAGAATTTAC